GGAATTCTGATGATGCTCTGCGCTTGAGTAATGTCGGCCATTGTAACAGATGCTGTAACTGGCTGGATGCGTGGCTTGACCTAAAGCTTGTTGCATATTAGTCAGGGCTGCGAATCAACACAACCCAAAACGATGTCTGCGTTGCCCCTTTTATATAGCACATGGGCTAAACGTCATACAAGGGGAACAACCACGAAAGGAGGAAGCTCAGTGAGGCTGGGCCGACCGAAAGACATCGAACTGCGCGGGCTGGTGGGACGACAACGCATTGTGCCCACACTCATCTTACTTGGTGATGCGCTCTTCGTAGAAAACCTGACCCCGTGGGTCGTGGCTGCTGGAGAATGATCCTTTAGGCGTATCGTTCGATCACCACCCCGAGCAAGTCGGCGCAAAGAGCGGCAAGAACAGTTTGGCAATCAATTTTCTTCTGGATCAAGGAGGCGGTTGCGCAATCACTGAGTTCTGACCCAGTGAAATGCTGGAGTTATGATGCAGGGATCCGCAGCCAAGGCGAAAGATCAGTTGGAAGGTGAAGGATTCCTGCCCGATATACCCTTTCCCCCTTTCTCGACGTAGAATTTAAGAGTTCAAGCTGCATCAGATGCACCGTCGCGTAGGGTCAAGCGTGACGACGCCGGGAGGGGGTTACGCCACGCCGGCTAGGAGTCGGCCTAGTGCCGGCCCCGAATTGCTCTCGGCGGCGCTTGCGAGGCGGCATGGCCAATGAGACCATGTGGAAGCATCATAGCGTTGTTTTCTCTCTTCTTTTGATGCTTTTCGTGGTGTTCTTCCAGCGGCAGACGCGAGATGTTTCCTCTTTTCTCGTACTAGATGATCCGCTCTCGGCCGAGGCCGTGCCATATTCCACGACATGGCAACTGATTCCACTCACATTTGCCTTCAAACACGAGGAATGTCAACTTTCTTTTTGCAAGGCGGAATAGCGTGTCTTGTCCGAATGTTCGCCACTCATGACCATCGAGATGCAGGAGCATACCAGAAACATCGGATCCACGGTAGGCAGCCTGCAGCCCCCTTTCGCGAAATTCGTTGGGCAATGCGGTGAGCCGATGCAGAGTCCCGATCGTAGACCTAGACCCAATCAAATTTCGCAATTCGTCACATCTAGATGCCACTGAAGGACTCTATAACGCAGGTTAGCGCAGTGGCGCAACGAACCTGCACAATACAGTTGCGTCCCGCGTCGAGTGCATGTGGCTTACTGAGAACTGATAGTCGCTGGGCCTCTGTCCCATGCAACCCACCGCATTCGATCATTTTACTCGTCTACAGACCAAGTCCTACCCTCTCAGGTCTCCTAGGTTCAGCTTTCTCTGTTTGTCAACTCACACCGACCGAATTAACCAATACCCTCTGTAGCGTGCGTGCTCCACGCCCATGACGCACATCAAGGGTGTTTGCACGTGTGCGTGCGAAGAAAATGACCCTTGCCTTGGTCGATGTCGCCTGCCGCCTCTTTTTAAAGACCCTCATGCGCACGCTATCCTAGAATTCGGCGTTCTAGTGGGGGACTTAGCCTCCCGTTGTTGACTACAGCTGCTTAGAGGCTATTCTTTTGCCAGTGTTTGCTGCCCTCTGGAGAGAGTGTCGCCTTTGGCGATAGCATTCTCATGGCAACATTCCTGTGGCAATAGGCCAGGAAGCACTCTAATAGCTGCCTCGTTGCTTGGGCAGCTATGCAGCGTGTCTGCATTGGCATAATTTCAATGACGAGGCGGATGAACGAGCTTGTGGATGACAGAACCGCAGGGCGGGAATATCACCAGACACGGAATAAAGTCCGGTGGCTGACGGCCAATCAGACGAGTTACTGATGACGTCCCAGCGACAAGGAAGCGAAGAGGGAAGGAGGGGAAGAAGGCAGAGCGAAGCCATCCTAGCCTCGGTGACGATTCGACGCAGGGGGAGGAGGAAGTTTCCCCGTACAGAGACTGTATTTCATGGTGCAGAAAAAAACGTTGGTGGATGTGGAAGCAAACATATATTTCCACGTCTTTGGCGCCACAATATTTGGAGGAACCCCCCATAGGGCCTCCAAAGGATGAAGCTGATACCCCAAGTTAATAGAGGGCCATATGGTGATTGGTCCAGACCTCGAGCGCAACAGGCCTAGCAGATGGCATGCCGGTCGGGAAGTCAGGCGCCACAGGATCTGGGGGATCAAACGGCGGAGCCAGCAGAGCCAAATTGCCCCCAAACCTGACACGAAACGGTGTTCCAACAGCAAGACCACCGCCGCGCTGCGCGTGAATAGTATTGTGGAGCGCCTCCAGCCATACCGAGGGCCAGGGCAAAGGATTGTAGAAACTCCAGTCTAGCCGCGGTCATGGAACATCGTGCTTGACATTCTGCATGTGTCGCTCAAGCTGGTCCTTCCTGGCAAACCCGTCCTTGTTAGGGCAGCCGGGCTTCGTACATTTATATGGCTTTTTATGTTTGTCCATGTGTTGTCTGCGGAACGAATCAGTGAGCTGGACAGTGACGAAACATTAGGCCAGAGTGCGACGACTGACCGAAACATGCAGTTGCGCTCAAAAATAACTAACTGGCCATGCATATCCACTCCACCTTTGGTGCAGCTCATGCCGTATTTACAGGTGTAGGTGCCCTTGCCCCTATTTCGAAGGGCATCCATGTCCGGGTCTGCGAGGGCGTCGTTGTCGGCACCTGACTCAGACCTTTCTGAAGGGCGCGAGTAATTTTGATCAGATGCCGGCGAGGGTTTGTCGATCCTCGCAGGCTCGGCCAGTACTGGTTGGTGGCCCTCAAGCCTGGGATCCCGTGACGGGTCATGGACCGACTGGCCGCCGCTGGACCTTGAGAAGGTTGAACTGGGGCTGGGAATGTGCTCCGAGACGGACACGGACATGGACACGGGTCGGGCGTGGCCAGCCGAAGGGTGGAGTACGGGTGGTCTTTGCCACGCCTGGCTGAAGCCGTCGACGGTACTTTTCAAAGTAGATTGCATATCTCTATCGCGAGTCAGAAACTGCATCGGGCAACAAGGACTAGAATTGACGTCTGGCGAGTGAACCCACTTCAAGATCCGATGAGACGCGTCGACGTCTTGCAAGCTCATGGCGAGGGTGTATCTTCTCGCCGTCCTATCTTCGACCATGGCGCCGTACGCTCTTTGTTTAATTCGCCGGTCGTCGACAATCTCATCGGCAATTTGCGACACCATGGACGA